TATATATATATATATATATATATATATACACACACACAACTTTTTTATATATTTATCCCACTTTGTGTTGTCAGACATTCTCAAATTAGATGATTTCTTTACTGTACAGGCCTGATATGGGAATTAATATGGTTACTTACAGTTATTTATAGACTTTAACAGAGTCATCTCAGTTTGGATTGTATGTTTTCCTGATTAAATGAAATACCTACAACAATGCTTTTTGGATTCACTCAGGTTATGCCTGCCTCATATTAAATCATAAGAATAATTGTGTGTCAAAAATACTTTTTCAAAGTATTAGATTTCACATTTTGAAGTGAAATATTGAAAAATAAAAAATAACTTTTTGGTATTAAAAGTTATCGAGATGCAGCTGGACAATAAGCGTAACTGAAAGCGGGCTCCCCTGCCTCGGGCCTCAGCTAATATTGGACCGCCTCTGGGTTTAATCCTTCTTAAAGTGATAGAACGAAAACAATACATTACGATGCGAACTTTCTAAGAGTGGGGTCTGAACAAACATAATATGTGAAAAGATATATGCAGCAAAGTTCTGACATGATCAACATCAACAAGTGTGGGCTGTGGCACGCGTTTGGCACTGAGGAACCTGCTTGGTTCCTGCTTGGTTCCTCTTTTAGCTGATTTGTTTCAAACTACAAAGCTGTGCGTCTCTGAATGAAAACAATAAAAAAAGGAAGAAAAAAAGGAGAGAGACAGTGAGCCGCCATAAGCGCGCGGCGGTGCGCCCTTACCCGCGCCGCCCTGGAGGAGTACGGGTCCTCGAACAGGTTCCAGATCACCGGCTGCCACTTCCTCCACAGGCTGACGTTCCCGTCCGCCGCCACGTCCTCGATCCCCAGCCTCTTGCCGACCTCGTCGTCCTCCTCGCAGGTGGTGTCCACGTTGAGCTCGAACACGTCCAGCGCCTCCTCTGCGTCGCGGTGCTGCCGGTAGGTCATCCAGCAGCACGGCTCCACGTCCGTCTCATCGATGCCCCAGAAGGAGAGCTCTTCCTCGAACAGCGGTCCGCACACGTCCGCCGGGCAGTGCAGCTTCCCGGTGCGGTAGTAGTTGAGCACGTAGGCGAAGACGCCCGGGTGGCGGTCGAAGAAGTACTCGTTGGTCCGCGCGTTGTACTCGATGAAGCCGGGGACTTGTTGCAGCTGGTCCAGCACGGAGTCGATGTCCGAGTCGGAGGCGAGCAGGGCCAGGCGCGTCCCCGGCAGGGTCTTCAGGGTGCTCTTGTAGGTTTCGTGCCTCGTGCCCCCGACGTTGAGGATTATCCTCTCGTTGTCGTCGAACTTGCCCATCGCTCCGTTTCAGACATGACTCGATGGGCTCTCAGGGAGAGACGCCGAGATGGAGGTGGTCGGTGCGCATCGCGCGGTCCGCTCTGACGGCCCAGCGACGCCCGGAGGCTGCCGGATGATCCGAACCCGAGCAGACTGTGAGGAGCCGCCGCCGCTGCTGCTGATGTTGATGCTGCTGCGCGTCTCCGGCGTCCCCTGCCCCTCTCCAAGACGCACAGCCGCCTGCCTCGTCAGCGTCCGGCACGCCGCCTAAAACAGCGGAACGCGCAACAGCAACAGCTCTCTGGGAATCGATGACGGCATCATCGTTAGAGGCTGTCTTGGAAAAACTAATCCGCTCCGTCTTCTGTCACGTCGTTCTCGTTGTTGTTGTTGTTGTTGTTGATGCCAGTGAAAACCGATCCGCGCCCGCATCTTCGGAGCCGGCGGTCAGCAGAAGCATCTGCGGAGGAGGAAGATGTGTCAGTCAGAAATTCACGTTTCTCAAACCCAACGCGTAAAAAACAAAAACAAAAACGATGGAGAATAAAACATGATCAACAGGTCTTCAGCTGCACTTTGCGTTCAAGGATGAATGTAATTGCAGACGAGACCAACGCCCACCGGCCACCTCGCCGCACCGCCACCAAATGAAGGGTTTCCAAGCGCGCTGCCACAAAGTTGGGGAAAGGGTCCTAGATGGGGGGAGGTTTGGGATATTCGTGTGGCAAGCTAGAATTTATGAAGTTTTATCAGGTTTCAGAGAAGTCTGGAGGAGTATTGAACACTGATATTCGAGTATCTTACAGGTGTGATTGAGGGTAGAAAAATGAGAGATTTTGAAAATATTTATTTTCCAAACTTCAGTCTTATGTGAGTAAAAAAGTAGTTGCATCATTTCTATTATTTTTCTTTGCCTTCCTGCCTTTCTTCTAGCTTCACTTTTCCATCTGTCGTCCCTTTCTGCATTGTGTCCTTTCCTTCCATTCTTACGACTGACCTTCTTATATCCTTTTTCTTTGTGCCCTTCTTTCAGTCTCCTTTCCTACTCGTCTTTTCTTGGACGTCTCTCTCTCTCTCTGTGTCTCTCTCGCTCGACTCAGTCCTCATTTACTGTCGTTCTTTCAGTCCATTGCAGTTTCCATGTGAAAAGTTTTGGTGGGATGAGGTGGGGTTTTCAGCCGTATCAAAAATCGGTTTGTTTCATTATTTCGCAAAACTGCAACGGAAGCACCTTTTTCCTCGTCACGCGAGTCACATGATCAATAACCGGATGTTGCCACTGGCGCAAACCACGAAGAAGACAGAACAGAATAACTGGCTGGGAAGTGGGTGTTGGGCACAGTACAATTCATCCCGCAAATTAATTTGATTGTAAGTTTATTTGAATAAGCAACCTTTTTTTAATTTGAAAAGTGCAGTAATTGAGGAATATTTTTTGTAACTATAAATTGTATATATATGTGTGTGTGTGTGTGTGTGTGTGTGTGTGTGTGTGTGTGTGTGGGTGGGGGGGGGGTGTGTGTGTGTGTAAAAAACAGAATAAACATCAAAAGTGCATCCTACTGATGGTACATTTAAATCATAGGATCATCGTGAGAATGATTTGACTAAAGTTAAATTATTTTTTGGGGGGGGCGAGGGGGGGGGTGACGTGTAAGACCGGCCTTTGCCTTTGTTTTCTTTTTGCCTTACTGTAGTTCTGGCCTCAAAACTGTACCAAGTCATTTTTCCCCAGTTGTTCTTTCATAGTTAAATCATGAACCCTGACCTTACCTGATATAAAGGAGGTCTGCAGTGCTTTAGATGGTCTGGGTTCTTCGGTGACCCCTTGGATGAGTCTTAAATGTGCTCCTGGGAAAGTTCCATCTTGTCTCTATTGGTGTATAATGTCTCTAAATGCTATTTGCTGAAGTCCTAGTACCTTTTTTTTAACATTTAATCCTCAAAAAATGGCACTATGAGTTGCTTTTTGAGACCTAACAACCTACTTCATGTTGTCTGACAAGTCTTGTCTATGCAATTTCTTGATAATACATTCTGTTCTAAAAGCAAGCCGGGACGCAGATTTGATCAGATTAAATTTAGCTCTTGAGCCTAATCAGTTCAACCAGGATTTACCAAAGGGTACAATTACTTCTCACATTGGGTTGGATTGGTTTGATTGAGTGTTTCTTTCACCATTTTGATCCTTTTCATCAAACTCCATGTGACTCATCAATCCTCAGTTGCTATAGATAGTAGCAGGTGGTTCCTATCGGCGAGACAGCCAAGCACTCCCAGTCATCAGCTGACAGATTTTGCCGTAAGGAGCCACGAAGCAGCCGTCAGCCAGAAGGCCCGTCGTCTGACAGCCACCACAGTGTGAGAGGAGGGAAGAGGAACATCTTCAGGGAATCTGAGTACAGCTCAATCAACGAGAAGACACCCCGCAGGTAATTTTTCCCATAATTACATGCGTCATTATCCCCTGATGCAAGACCTGTTTGTAGAACTGCAACCTCTGAGTGACCCAAATACCCCAAGATTGCATAGAGGCAATCTTTCTGCATTTCAATGTCTTTCTTCTAAATTTGAAAGGTGTAACCACACCATTGTCTCTGCTCAGCAGTGTGACAGAGGGGGTCTGACTCCAACTTTTTAGACCCCATCAACTGGGTTGAAACTGGACGAAGCAAACAAACACAGAATCTATCCAATTATTTTAGAGATTCATCTGGTGGATTTAAAAGGCTGTTCCAGTAATAGTGACATTTTTCTGCAATGATTTTAACTGGGAGCAAAAAATAGTCTATCATTGATATCCCGTATGATGGTGCCCCCTTTTAGGTTAGTTCTTCTCCCCTGTACGCCCCCCAATCTTCATTTCCTCCCCCGCCGTCTGTTACATATTCAACCCGCAGTCCGAAATCAAACTGAGTCTGCCAGACTATTAGGTGTGAAAACAGCATGGAAAGCAAACATGTCTGTGAATGGCATCACTTTATCCTTAAGATCTTAAGAGATCTTAAGGATCTCTTAACTAGGAGTTTGTGTTGCTGCCACTATAGAAGCACCAACAATCTTCAGACCACAGACAGTGGAAGCTGCAATCACAACATAGTTCATGAACATTGGGCATTTTGAGTCTCTGTTCAAAATGTCCCTAAGGATGAAGAAAAGATTATTATTGCCAAGGTCTAGGAATAAAAGTTATAAATAAATTCTTGATTTAGAATTGGCACTGTGAACCCTTTGGATGATCTTTGCTCAAACATTTCTATAAAAAAAAAAGCTCACTCGTAGCACAGACATCCAAAAACAAAATCGATTAGAAAAGTTGGTTCCCCAATCTCAGCCTTATAGATAACTCTCTCAACACACATTGGCGCCGAACTCCCCTGGAAACTTGGATGAATTCCCTTAAGGGACACCTTGAAAATTGAGAAGTTCATATAGCCTGAAGTTATTTGTGCCTCTGACCCAAAACAAGCCCTCATCAGAACCTTCCTGCTTCCCAAGAGGGAAGAACTCCAACACTAGGGCACTCAACCAATACCCAAATGGACAACAGAGGAGATGTCAGCTAACAGCAAATACAGGGGTGATGACTTTCTACAATACACTGATTTCAATTTTGCTTCAACGTGAGGTTGAGCTGGTGAAAAACTCCATGTGTGATGAAGAGTCCCTTTTAATGTTTCACTAATGAGGTCATTTAACTTGGAGCACGGGGGACGACAGTGGTCCAGGACAGTCGTTGCCTATAAACAGCCCGTCAGTGTTCTGAATGATGCAGGTAGGAAACAGCATCCCGGGTTCCTTCTCCCTCCCCATAATATCATGACTAAAAATAGAGCAGCCAGATTGCTGATCTTTATCAGGAACTGGAGGGCACAAAAAAGGAGAAGGAAAGAAAACGTCCGATGGAAAGTCCTTGCCTGGTCCATTTCGCCTGACAGGATCAGTCCCAGGGGGAGATGGAGGCCAGAAGCACAGCCTTGGTTTGTTTCCATAGGGACATTTTTCAGAAATGGGGGATTACTTTAAGTGGTCGTGTACAACAGATTCTGGGAGAGAAAAATCTAGTTTCATTATGTTTTGTTTTTTTAAAAAAAAAATGTACTAAAAAGGATAAATTATGCTCACAGCTTATTGAGGCCAGAACAGAGCATACTGTTTTCTCAAAACAAAAATATACAAAACATGGTGTTCCTATGTTTTCAGACTCTTTTAATTGGATACCTCTAAATAAAACACACTAAAGCCATCAGAACCTAATTGGTAAGCTGACTAAATACACATCCCCTGTTGTGTTACAGGGTGATGGCAACGTCATGGTGTGAGATGATTTTCTTTAGCATGAAATAGAAAGTTTACCTTAGAAAAAAAAAACTGTTTGGAGTTGCAGAAGACAATTAGAGCCACAATGAAAAAGGGTTATATGGAAATTGATGTGTTAGAATGGTCTAGCTAAAGTCTAGACCTAAATCAAATGGAGAATCTGTACCAAGTCTTGAAAACTGGCATTCACAGATCCTCTCTGTCCCACCTGACCGAGTTTGACCTTTCATGCAAAGAAGGATGGGCAAAAAATGTAAATTTCAAGATGAATGATTTTGCAAGTCAATATAGAGAAAGACTGAGCAACGAAACGAGAGCACTGGTCCAGAAACAGCAAGAACATGACTGAATCACATTGTATTACATTAAAAACAAGGAGATATTGGCCGAGTTCTCTGTCAGAACCTTCAGTTCTGTTCTGCACGCACGTTCTGCTTGCTTTCCACAAACCCGCTGACTCTGAAGACAACCAGGACACAAAAAGACACTCCTTTGTTTAAAACCTAAAATAAAACCTCTGCAATTTCAGTTGTCTCTTCAAATAAAGACAAGAAAACAGCTTACTTTTTCACTTTGAGTAAGAGATGCTATTTTTGCCGGCCTTTGAGAGGGGAATGAAAGGAACCCAGCAGTCTCCGAACAAACAAATCAAGACGAGACACATCCAGGTATGACAACCGTCTCTTCATATAACTGCACATTTGTTTGGATGAGTTCTCAACTGTTTCAGTGACAGTCCCATGATGCCAAGTCTCAGAAGACAATGGTCTTCTTCCTCGTGTTCCTGATAAATAAAATGTCAATTCTGTTGTCTTCATGCAGTTCCTGCCAAAATCACATTGAGTTGTCCGTCTCATGTTGAAAGAACTGAGAAAATGAAAGGAAAACTTAAAATCGAAGCGCACCTGCTCTCTTCTTGTCTTGTCTCTAAGGAAGTTATCAAATGATCAAGTTGGTTGGAAGTATGACGATTCATATTGTATCCTGATTCTTTGGCACCTCTGGATTGATTGTAAGAATCTGTTCCTTACAGTAAAATACAAAAACTTGGGGATGCTTTAAGCCTTTTGCACATTATTGCACAAAGACGTTAAGAGTATGGGAAAAGCCTGGCACAGAAGGAGCTATAGTCGTGTAAAATCAACAGTCCATGGGAATGTAAACGGTGCCAATAAAAACCACTTATGCGCTATAAATGCCACAACACTCCCGGGATCACTTTGGTGCGTTTAGAAGTCCTGCATGACCCTGAAGGGAGCATGCTCTGGGAATGAGGTCATCTGCAGTCTGTGGACATCTCCTTTTAAATGCCTCCAGTCCCCATTCGTAATAGCTGTGCGGCTCGTAAAATATTCCGTCTCGTGCTCACCGCGAGCCGTTGGACGGAATCGGGCGGGAATCCCAACGGAACGCGAGTAAGCTGATTAAATGTTGCTTTTATAATTGAGAGAGCCAAGCTAATTTGCGCTAAATCCCCTATCTTTTTTCTGATGCTACATGAAAGGAAGACAATAACAAACTCAGCATGGTCTAATTATGAGCTATGATTAGAAGAGGTGGTTTAATTTGCAAAGATGCTTTAGAGAAGTTCCTCCAAATACCTTGTTCTACTGAACATAGAGGGAAGCTTTACTTCCTGATTTGCCCCATCTTGCTTGTTTAATAATTCTCTCTTCGACCCATTTCCCCTCACAATGTAAATAAAATCTATATATATTTATTAATATGATGTTGCTCACAGAAGTAGGCCAAAGCTTCCCAGTAGAAAACGTTTCTAATTTAACCTTGTGGCTCCAGCTTTGGGCATGTTGCTCTGGCGCCATCTGCAGGTATGCTATCATGAATGCATCTAAACTTCATTTAATTTTAGTGGAGTAATCAACACAAAGTAGCGGATAGTTGAGATGAAACGTATTTGTGTGTCCATTACACACTTGTTTAATGGACACACGGCAATTTTACTTACCCCATACCGTAAGTCCGATTCATTTCTTTTGGTTTCTTGGATCCTGTCTCTAGAGGTTGTGACGGAGTGCGAGAACTGGGAAATGGTGT